CACACACACACACACAGACACACACACACACACACACACACAAACTCTGTGTTAACACATTAAACGCTGCATGGCAGACGGACGCCCATATAGTCAATGTCCCTGTTAATACCCTTTAAAACCTTGTCTGTAAACTTGTCTTTGCTTCTGCACAGATGAATCTGGAGTAGGTATCTAAGGGTGTCACATTTCACAGACGAATGAGTTTATATGGTGTGCGCAGAACAAACCGAAGTATTTGGGTCACTCGTTACAGAGGAAATTAATCGATGTAATGAGGGTGTGCCATGGAGAAATTCAGTGTGCTTGTCATAACCTATTTTTTTCCTTTTGGTGTTTTCAAAAGATTCTCTTAAATAACACATGTAGATGCTGCAGGAGAGTAATGGAGCTGTCTCCATCTAGCGGCCACGCCTTGGATTACAGCACAAAGGAGACGGTGACATTAGAGTAGGCTGCATGCTTACACATAACACATTACCCAAGCTTTTTAGATATGTCAAAACGGAATAAATTAAAAGGAAATCCAAGGACACTTATAGTCACCCAGATACAAGAGACCTTTACAAAGACGTCTTGTGAAACTTATAACAGCAACAGCCAGCAGTCAACTGCCAATAGTTTTTCAGAGTGTGGAAATTGAACGGTTTTGCAATTATGTAACCCGGCAACAACTTTTCATAACATCTGAACAATGAAGTTTGGTTTTACAAATACACCATACTTGAATGCCAACTGAATGTTTCAGAAAACGCTCAAGAAAAAATTCAAAACATAAAAAACAATTATTTTATATTATATATGATTTATTATAATATATTTATATATTTTTACAACTAAAACCTCGTAGAGTTGATTACATATGATAAACTAATGCTACAGTAAATGAGTTTGAAATAAACATGGCATTTAATATACATCCATCCATATACAGTATATATATATATATATATATATATATGATACATATTACATTACATAATGTTTAATTTACGTGTATGTGTTATATATATATATATCATATTAATGTATTCAAAGGTATATTAAAAGTATTATGAAAAAATGCCTCTTTATTGATTTTATTATAAGCATTACTGTATGTTTTTATATTACAATATATAATGAAACATTACAAATTATATAATATATTACACAATAAAATTGTGATATAGTTTCTAACATGCAAAGAATAGAAAAATTATTTTTAAATTAAATAAATTAAAAATATATATTATTTGATGTACAAAAGATAAGAAGACTCACGTCGTCAAAACATGTTGTAAATCTAGCAAAGTTTTTTACATTTTCATTTTTTTATTGTAAATTTATACCACTTTGTGTTTTCCTGCCTTGGCATTAAATTACAGTGTTTTTAATACAATGGCTC